TGACAGGACTAAACAAAAAAAGGAGATACAAAGGAAGGACCATTTTGTATTTGTATATATAGAATAGTTAGTATAGATATACAGCTACTTTCACTTAATTCAATGAGAAGAAAGATGTGTACTAATAGTGTTTGGACATGATATCCTGCCTGCTTCTTGTACTATGGATAACCACTAAGAAGATAACAATGTAGAATGTATTAATTATTGAAACTGTACTATTAATCAGCTTTGAAATTGTCTGATTGATATTTGTTTCTCAAAAAAAAAAAAAGAATGTTTCTGGGCTTCTGTCTGCATCTTGTATTCTGCTGCATTGAATATTGCAGGGAGTGTACCTCTTTTAATTTCATTAAAGAATTTGAGGATCATTGATGTTGTTTCCTGAAGTTTTTGTAGAATTCAGTGGTAAATTCATGGGGTCCTGGGATTTTTTTGGTAGGTTTTTAATTATTGCTTCTATTTTATTTCCTATTTCTGGATTATTCTGGGTATTTATATGTTCCTGGTTCCATTTTGGTAATTCATATTTATCTAGGAATCTATCCACTTCTGGATTCTACAATTTATTGGAGTACATTACCTTCCTTATACTAGCTTTCAATTTGGATTGTTCTTGCTTTCCCTGGATTTGTGGTGCATCCTTGGCTTGTTTGAGCTCTCTCTGATTTTTGATGTGAGCATTCACAGCTGTAAGCTTCCTTCTTAAGACTACCTTCATTGTGACTTCTAGGTTCTGGTATATCTTACTTGCATTATCATTTGATTCTAGGGGCTAGTTTCTTCCTTGATTTCTTCTGTGACCCATTGATTATTCACGAGCATTCAAGAGCACATTTCCATGTGCTTGCATAATTTCTGTGGTTTCTTTTGCCATCAATTTCTAGTTCATTCATTGTACTATGATCTGATAATACAGATGGGATTATTTTGTTTCCTTTATATTTAGTTAAATGTATTTAATGGGCTAGATTGTGGTCGATTTTTGAGAGGTTCCTTGTTGCTGCTAAAAAGAATATGTATTATGTTGTTGGGTAGAACATAGTTTAGATTTCTGTTAAGTCCATTTGCTCTCAAAGGTTTGTTTCAACTCTGTCTTTGTTGATATTATCTAGTTGCTCTACCGTGACTGTAGAATATTGAGATTTCCTTTTATTTTGTATTGATGTTTATGTAATATTTTATGTCTAGTAATTTTTGTTTTATGAAGTTGGGTGTGCCAGTGTTCAAAGTATATGTTTATAATTGTTATCTCTTTCTGTTGAATTTTTCCTTTAATTTTTTTTTTTACTTTATTAAAATACTGAGTTTATTTCACATGTATATTTGTCTCCCTACCATCTCCATGTCTGACCACCACTACTACTATGTCTTATCATAACATTCCATACATACTTAAAACCAAGTAAAGGGTGGAGTTTCATCTTTAAAAACTAAACAGGCATTTCAGACAACACATTCT